CTCACAAGCTGATTTTTCTGACCAGTGCGCTGGCTGCTGAGGGGCCCCTCTGGGTTTTGACGAGCCTCTTGTGGGTGGGATCCCTCTCTGACAGCTTAGGGACTTAAGTGGTCGCCCTCTTTTTCCACGCAGCTCGATGTTGCCACTTTTTGATAGCGTTAAACGATACGGATGACACTCTGCCTGATCTAAATATGTATATGCAAAGCCCTTTCGTAAAATGAATATTTATGTGTACATGAATGAATGTAATGTGCAATATTGATATCAAATTTGTAGATGGACAATGGATGCTCATCTATCTTCGTATTGCAGGACAAATATTGAGTGAAATGTGAAAATAAGGTAATGTGAGGAGGGTAGGTGCCAAGAATTTCGCTGTCCCTGTGCTACGATCTTCCTAGATGCTGGTTAACTTGCACATCCATAATGTCAGATGGTTTAGGTGAAAGTTCACGCCGGCAATAATGCCCCGGCTACCCTAATATACTCTCAAGACAGTTTCCGAGCTGATATATGGGCCAAGGCTTTTTGTCCGGCAGAAGTTTTAAAACTTGGCAAATATAGTATTATTTTATAGGAAAGTCTGCTATCTTGAACTAAAATGGCGCGCTGCATTTATACCTCCCGTGGTTCACCACTCACTACCCCCATCAGGGCAGGCCAACTCTGCATCCGCCCTGACAACGCCCCTCCTAAGGCTACAGGATGTGCATTTCAACTTCTCATTGCGCGTCCCAAAGTGCTGTGAGCCTGTCTGGCCCGCCGTTTCTCATCCCCACCCTATGTTGTTTTTGTTGTTGTATGTTGTGCTTTTTACACTGGCTGTTTCTAAGCACTTACGGCTAGAGATCTTCGGAATAAATCACTAGTGAATGGATTACCCCATCCCTTTGACGGGGGTAGTTGGGACGCACATTCCAGAAATCATTTTGTATCTCTGGCGCAAACCAACGCCGTTCTTCACCTGGAAATGCTTCATTGAATGTGCTAGGTCGAACAAGTCCAGTTTATGGAAATTTTGTGTTTAAACCAGCCTCAAAGAACAGCTTTTTCACGTCGCCGTAGCGTTGGTGTCATATAATTTAGCCCCATGATGACGACACGGCGTCGCCTACCCAGAATGCAGTAAAGTGGGGCCTCTCGGCGCCGGCTATTCAGCCTGTCGTAGGCTCGTGCTAGTGCCACAACAAAAAACGCTAATTGCCGACCTTGGCAGTGACCGTTTGATCGCCGGTAGACCCGGCGGAGCGCAGAACCGCCGTCGGCAGCGATCCCCCTCCCTTCTCGGCGGCCGGCCGGCGACGCAGCATTCCAGCGGGGGGAGGGGGGGGGGGGCATCACCACGGCAATCCACCTGTCTGTGCAAACTTGCTGGCTTCGGTCGGCGTCAGCTAGGTTCCCGCCGGACTAGTCTCTGGCCGGAAGTGCATCATTTGAGGAATACATCGCCTTTTTATGAACAGCGCACAACGGCCAGGCGAAGGTGTGGTCTGGTCTTAGCCGAGGATTTCAGCGAGCTGGAACACCCCCGGTCGCACAGCCCAGATTCCAGTCGGGGCCTGATGTTTTTCTGTCGCGTCACGTCCCGAAAGTGCGGGTTTTCCGTCAAGCCTGCGGCTGGGCGGGAATTCCGACCATCTCGCCGTTCCGAATTCTTGGGAAATCCGAGAGCGCGGCAGACGAGTCTTTTGTGTAATTATGCGTCCGTCTTTTACATCCGTGGGAGGGGGCATTTAGGATTACACTTCGGCTCGCCGTGCCTTGTAGTGAGCGTGAATGTCCTCAAAAGTGTCAATAATGTTGTAGAACGGCTGAACGGAACAGTATCATGTTTTTCAGATTATTTTTTATGTTGAGTTAATCATCTTCAATATAACAGGAGTTACTGGTTAAAACACGTCGTAATGCTAAAAGTGATTGTATCGACAATGCCCAATATTTTGCGTTGTGATCATCCCCAAGAAACAGCATGGTGGTTTCATAGTTAACGATGTGTTGCCCGCGCGCACACGAGCTATCACGCAGGGGGCATTGGCAATCGCATCGGCACTGCTGCCGATGCGATTTCACATCCATATCTCTCGGTCAGTTCGCTTGAAGATGAGCAATGGGTGCTGAGCTTGAGAATGAGCACAGCCCGAAATACTGAGTGCGTTTAATATAGCATTTGCGGTCATTTAGTATTCCAACGTCGTTTAACCAGTGCCTCCCAGGATACTGAAGGTCGTTAACTCAACACAAGAGTTTTCTTCACATAATACCGAAAAACAAGGAACTGAATGTCTTTCTTACATCAAATTCATGTTTTCTTAAGTCGTTAAGTTGTTTTATGTGCTGCGTCTGATAGCGTGGTCAGCTTCGTCATGCAGATTGCATAAACTCAACTGAGCTGGAGCCGCGAAACACAAACCAGTCAGCTGCATACTCTGAAATGAGGCCAACGGCACCCAGGTTTTGGGTGTTAAAACCAGTAAGTGATCTATTCGGCCAAGGCAGTGCCCCAAGCTTTCGGGAGGTTGTAAGCTACGTTTCAATGCACGCAGAGCAAAAAGAGGACAACGCAGAAACTCTAAGCGACAAGCGGAGGACTACATAGAGCATGCTAAGCTCGGTAATGCATCCACCACCGTTTTAACGGTCGTTTCTTCATGCATGCACAGAGGATGTACACCCACCGCACCCGTACACAACAGCTCGGTCGCGGCGGCGCGAACACTCAGCTGACTGTCAGCGCCGCGCCCGCAATACGACGCGGAGGCACGAACAAATGCGGCATAAACGCAACTGTGCGCAAGCTTTTCTTTCAGAACCATCATTCAGGAAAACTGGAATATAATGTGCAAAATCTCTAGGGTTCCAAGGGCCTTTTTGTGCCTACACTTGTTTTTGTGCCTACATATGTCAAGTTTCCCAACCATATATATATATATATATATATATATATATATATATATATATATATATATATATATATATATATATATATATATATATATATATATATATATATATTGATATCTGCATAATATCAACCAGGTTTAAAGGTTTTGGCGTAATCTTTCTTGCGGCGGCTACCATAAGCAGATTAGCCACGAAATGAAAATGCGCTGTGGCTTGAAAGTTACTTTTCAACGTTACGGCATTGGTCAACTTGGCAAACAGTTTTCATCGGTAAGATATTGTGACAGACAAAATGAGCAACAGCATTCGACACCGTGTAATATTGCATTTGAAGCAGCGCTCGGGAGCTGTCAAATGAAAACATGCCTTTTTTCATCAAAAGGCAGTTAGGAACGCCATCTGGCCCTTTACGCGCTGAGTTGTTGTTTTTTTTTTGTTTGTTAAATAACGATCTCATCGCAGGCTTGACTGCAAACATGCTTCTCAGTTGGTGAAACAAACATGCCACCCGGCCCGGTCATGTGTGGAGGATCGCTCATCACAGCCACCGCACAAACAATGTTTGTCGGATCCTCGTGGCACCGTGAAATCGATGCGAGAAATGCACTCACCGAGAAATCGCCACGGGACGCATGGATTCAAGTTCGCAACACCGAGGTCGTTCACCGTTGAATCCAAGGCAGGTCAGGCCTCAGAACCACCTGACCCCATGACCCACTGGATCCACATCGCCATAACAGCGCCATGCTTTTCAAGGTGCCATCACGGTGCGACGATGCCAAACCCATAGTCCAGGTAATTTTTTAAGTCCGGTGGAGAAACAGTAAGATTTTGCTTTTTCTGCAGCCTCTTGTCAATCAAACCACCGAAATTCGCCGAGTTTAGCGCCGTGTTCAGCCGGCGAGCCGGATAAGTTTGCATTCAGTTTTTCCAGTGCTGGCTATGTCGTAATGAAACGTGAAGTTTGTGGCTGCGTAATGGTCACGATTGATCGAGCAAGGGTGTCCACATGCTTCCATTGCCAAATGTATATCGGTAGCGAGGGATATTTTGACAAAGACGGGGCATACAGGAATAGTTTTGAAAAGATGATATTGCGCACTTTTCTGTTACTTTCCGGAAAACCTGTAAGCTGAAAGATGCTAAGCTAACAATAGGGTGACGGCAATAGTGCCGGCCTACACCACATAACTGGTCTCACGTCCTGATCTGGTCCGGTTGGTGAGCACTGATGGCTTTGTGCATGCGTTTACATGAGCCATCGCACACGAAGACAAGCATTTCTGCTATCGTCATTGCACATTTCTATCTCTCGGTCAGATCGCTTCGGTGCCGCGCCACTGCAATCCGAGGCGGTCCAAGTCTATGCTGGCCTCCGCCCACGGTTTTTCTGAGAAATGTTGCAATTTTCGTGGTTGATTCCTTCCTCAGGGAAACAACGCCTGATCAAACAAGTTGTTTGTTCTGTCTGTCTGTCCGTCTGTCGGTCTGTCTGTCTGCCTGCCTTTCTGTCTGTCTGTCTGCCTTTCTGTCTGTCTGTCTGCCTTTCTGTCTGTCTTGTCCGTCTGTCTGTTGGTTTGTCTGCTGCATGCATCGCAAAACAGCCTGTAAAGAACACGGCATGCGCGTGGGTGCAGAATGTGTAAGGATACGAATAGTAGTGCAGGAATGAGGCAATTCAGAACATTGGCTGACCGGTGCAGGTCGGGCCGATGAAGCTACAAGTTTCTTCTTAGCTGACGCAAAAACAAGCACATCCTCCGGGCTCTCTCGTTATGAATGAGTCGGCACTATTATGAAGTAGGCAGACAGCCGACCTTCAGGCCCTGGACGCGCTTGTCAGTGGTCCATGCCGCCAGACATGGACCACTGTTAAGCGCTCGACAGCTCCAACTGTCGAACACCTCTCGTCAGTGTCCGCCGACACAGGAATGCGATTAGCCAGTGCGTGTTCGCCGAACACCGCCAAACTCAGTCAAGCGAAGTTACATAATAGCATGGGCCGCGCCCGGCGGAACGTCAAGGTGAACACGGGCGCCAGGGAAAACAAAGCCGTTCCGGTCAAATCAATTAGGGTCCTGCTGCCTTCGGCTCGACTATAAAAATGACGCGACGTGGAGTCTCACCACTTCCCCGAGAACTCGCCACACACGCACTACAGGTGAGACCATCTGCTATCGGGCTGAACGGAGATCTGAGGTTAAGCACGTTGGCCACAGATTTTGATTTTAGCGTTTCAAAAGGTGTTGTTCTGCATGGATGCAACTTTAAGATGTTTGTGATTTACTTCACCAGCTGTATGCTGCGAATTTTAACGTTAAATGCTTCATTTCGTCCTCATGCTCTGATATTTCAATCGTCGACCATTTACGACGTACGCACGCATTTATGACTGTAGTTATCAGCATCACCCTACCACATACTTTGAAAAAATTTCAGGCTAAATTTGTTTTAGGCTGAAGATGATTCTGGCGTTCTTCAATCAAAAGCCAGTTGCCTCAACTCCTTCACCCACAATTACCCACACCCACTGCTGCCCGGGCTCGAATGTGACACAGCCCCTCCAGAGGTGGCCTCTTGAACGCAACTGACCGCGCTGCGCGCTTCCGCGTCAGGATGAAGCTGACGCTGACGGTGGCGTTGCTGGCCAGCCTGCTGCTGCTGCTGCCGGCCAGCGGCCAGTACCGCCGCGGTCGCTCCTACAGCAGAGGTGGCGGCCGCGGCCGCGGTCTCCGCCGCCTGGCTGCGGCCGGTCTCGTCTTCGGCGCCGGCACACTCTTCGGAGCCGCACTGGCTCGCGGCAGGTGAGAGCGAATCCGCCGCGTGCTGGTCTCCTGGGTCCCCTCCGTGAAGCGCCAAATAGTGTCATGTGAGTACGCTCACAACGTGCCTTCTGGCGGTCTTCCTTCGTGAGGCGCCAAATTGTGTCATGTGAGTACGCCCACAACGTGCCTTCTGACGATCTTGCTTCGTGAGGCGCCAAATTGTGTCATGTGAGTACGCCCACAGCGCGCCTTGTGACGACGTTCCTTCGTGAGGCGCCAAATTGTGTCATGTGAGTGCGCTCACAACGTGCCTTCTGACGATCTTGCTTCGTGAGGCGCCAAATTGTGTCATGTGAGTACGCCCACAGCGCGCCTTGTGACGATGTTCGTTCGTGAGGCGCCAAATTGTGTCATGTGAGTACGCTCGCAACGTGCCTTGTAACGGTTTTCCTCCGTGGGGGGCCGTTTCGAGGCAGGTCAGGAGAAACGGCTCCTCCTGCAGGGACTCGGGCTCAGTGTGATGCTGATGCAGAACGGTTATAAGCGTCAGTCCAGAGCAGGTGTTTGTGTTTCCTCGGCGTCGGCACAGCGTGAAGGAGCGTGAGTCCCGTAACGGTCCACCAGGTCTCACTGTGCTGGGGATAGTCGTGTTCCTGTCTGGGAAACAGTGAAAGAAGCAATGCAGTCTCAGCGCGAGTAACGGTTGTCTGAGGTAGAAACACAAACAGGCCGTGAGATGTCAGTCAAATCGCCGTCTGGGCCCGATCACCAGCTGTTCCCAGTTTGGTACATCCAGTGGTACACCGAGCTGAACAGCTAATCACCTCGCCACGCCTGGCCATGAGGGCGCTCATTGCCCCGCCGCTCATGTCTGCCTACCCCAGACGCGACGTCTCCGAGAATGAGGAGATCGCGGAGGAGATGGAGCTGTTCAACATGATCAACCGGATGGACACGGAGCGCTGCATGGAGAAGTGGGTGTGCGACATGATGGCCCGCAAGGAGGACCAGCTGGCTGAGGAGGAGCGGGACATCGCCGACCTCCTCATGTACGTGTCCAACGGCAACGGCTGTGAGCAAGGCCTCTTCTGTCGTGAGAGAATCATCGATCTCGCTTACTTACCGTATCCACCGGGATGATGTGGCAGCTGCGCTACACTGTGAAAGCACTTCGATTTTTCCAAACCATGCATGGGTTTATCATTTTTATATTTTGTTGATTCCTTTGATGGGAGATCGCTTATGCGTCACATGCGTCATTTATCAGCTTTCTGACGTTGAACATGCTTTTTACCACGGGTAGGCAGACTCCAATGAATAAAACTCTTGTTTTCTGTTGCAAACCTCTCTGAGACGACCATGGCTACCTCTGCATGCTCCATAGCTCATCTGACCCATGACTGCGGCAAGACGACTCTCATCTAACCCTTAGTCCATGAGGGAGGTGCTCTAATCCAGCGCGTGGCCCCTGTAACGCGGCTTTTCCACCTGACCCTCGTGACCTCTCTCATCTGACCCCTGCCTGGGTAAGTTGGAGGGTCTCCCCTAACCTTGACCCCTGCCGGAGTCAGGGGCCAGGGCTGGGCTGTTCCGCTCAACTGAGCCATACCCCTACAGTCCGCTACCTCTCCCACCTGACATGTGACCCACCAGAGAGGCCCCACACTCCCCCCCCCCCCTGCCCGCAGGGAGGACGCGCTGGCGGGCCGGGCGGGTGAGCCCGGCTCCGCCCGCGGCGTGTACCTGGCGGCGGCGGTGCGCGGCCTGCGCAGCGGCGGCGACCGACGCGCCTGCCAGCTGCCCAGCTGCCCGGCCGAGCCGCAGCAGCTGCTGGTCCGGCTGCGCGCCGCCGAGGAGCAGCGGGACGACTGAGCGCCGGCGCAGCGGGCCAGCCGACCGGCGATCAGCCGATGAACTCCAGGGGAGGCGCTGAGGCTGGTCGAGAGGACGCCCTGGATCATGACCTTGATCACCGTATCACTCGCGACTCTGTCTGGTCAGAATAGCTTAGTGCGGAGATCTTTCCTCTTGCGATGGCACCTGCTGGTGAAGAAACGTGCCAGCCACATGCAATGCAACAATATGGATATGGCAATAGCTAAAGATGCATTTAGGGCTTGCACGGCATTTTTGTCTTAGATGTAGTCATTGACCAGCAGTGATAATCATACCTGTAATCGGTCTCGCATTTGAAACAAATACATACGTCATACAGAAGAAGCTTGTAAGTGTATGGCTGCCGACTGAACCGAAGAGGGTTAGATTCATAAAAGCGATTGCTAGTTAACGAAACTGGTTAGGAAAACTGAGTATGCGTGTTTCCAAGCTCTGAAACAGATAAGCAAAAATAAAAATACCATCATAATCATTATGAAAGGCGTCGTCAAAGGAAAAACACACGTATTGAGTGAAGTAGATTTACAAAACGGGGATTCTTTTTACAATCATGACGTGTTTTCTAAGACTCAGCACTCTTAGTATTGAGCCCTTTACGTGCACCACGCTGTTGCACATGCGGAGCAAGGATGTTGTACGTTTCACGCAATATGCCAGACCATTTTCACAAAATTTGGGTGACCCAGCTTGTGCCTAAATATGCCAGAAAACTTTATCACTGGCTGTAACGTGGCGTGACATAACCTAACAGCACGGAGATCAACGAAAGCTTCGAAGCATATCAGCGGACATTGACAGTCTTTCTGGACCAGTTCCAGCTTAGGATCCGCTGAGAGGTGATTGCAAGAAGACCGGTTTGACTGCCCAGGCCCGCGCATCGATAGGTTACCTGCCCTCATGGTCAGATTCTCTGTCTACAACGTGAAATGTTAAGCCGTCTGATGTCCTTCAGCGCGATGGGATCCCATGACTACAAGGAAGACACGCGGGCGATACGATAATTACGCCGAAAAGCACTATCTGCTCCGGTCGCCGCGTCAAGAGCTTCCCGAAAGGACCCAAGGTAACAGGTGTGTTGTGCCTCTCGAATACATTGCGTGCGCGTTTTAACCGTTAAAAATATAGTTGTCGAACTGTTGAACTGTAGATCTGTGTTGTTATACGATACGTTGGGAAGGTTACCAGTATCATGGGTGAATGCCTAGCCATTAATTTCGCTGACAGAAATTGCGAGGCACGCTACCCATTTTTGCGAACTGCCCATTTAAAGGCATTACGGTGCGTGGCTTAGTAGGGAAAGTAATCACTACCGGACTGTAATCTGTTAATCTTAGAGAAAAGCAAACATTTAAGCATGATCAAACGCATTGGAAAAAGTTAAGAAATATTTATAACTACACCATCTTAGTATTTGGCCCCATGCACATCAAAGCAATTAAACACTAGAAGTATTATGATCGCCTTTTTCGCCCCATTCCGTGGAAGACGGCTCAGTGGTACCAGTGCTCAGACTGCATTGCATCGTGACCATTAGTCATTCACCCGGCTTCAAATGTATGTTGGATAGGGTTGGACAAATGTATTTCGATAGCCCACAAACACGTCATTAAGTACGCAACATAAACAAAGAGGAACGCTCAGTACGTTGGTCACGCATGTCAATTACGAGCAGGAGTACCAGAGGTATTAGAAGCCTAAGCGTCATGGCGACCGGGGTCGGCATAGTTGTCAGGAGCTGGGACGTGGTGACTGTCCGGAGTCGAAGTGCTGTGTCCGGCGTGACCTCGAGACCTCACGCGGACGGCAGCTGGCGCCTGATAACCGGCGGGAGCAGGAGAGCTGTAGCTGGTGGGAGCTGGGGTGCTGTAGCTGGCGGAAGCCGGGGCGCTGTAGCCGGCGGGAGCCAGAGTGCTGTAAGAAGCAGAGGCAGGGGTGCTGTAGCTGGCGGAAGCCGGGACGCTGTAGCCGGCGGGAGCCGAGGTACTGTAGCCGGCGGGAGCCAGAGTGTTGTAAGAAGCAGAGGCAGGGGTGCTGTAGCTGGTGGGAGCCAGGGTGCTGTAGCCGGCGGGAGCCGAAGTACTGTAGCCAACGGAAGCCGGAGTGTTGTAAGAAGCAGAAGCCGGGGTGTCGTAGCTGGCAGAAACCAGGGAGCTGTGGCCGGCGGTAGCCCGGGAGTTGTAGCCGATGAGAATCGGGGTACTGTAGCTGACTGGAGTCGGGGTGCTGTAGCCGGGGAAAGTCGTGGTGCTGTAGCCGGCAGGAGGTAGGGTGCTGTAGCCGGCGGGAGCCGGGGTGCTGTAGCTGGCGGGAGGTAGGGTGCTGTAGCCGGCGGGAGCCGGGGTGCTGTAGCCGGCGGGAGCTAGGGTGCTGTAGCCGGCGGGAGCTAGGATGCTGTAGCCGGTGGGAGCTAGGGTGCTGTAGCTGGAGGTAGCCGAAGTACTGCAGTCGGAGGAAACCGAGGTGCTATATCTGGCAGCAGCAGGCGTACTGTAGCTGGTGGGAGCCGGAGCCCTGTAGCTAGAACGAACCGAGCTTCTGTAGCTAGCGGGGACCGAGCTGATGTAACTGGTAGAAGTTCGGGTGCTGTGACTAGCGGGAACTGGCGTGCTGTAGCGAGCGATACGTCCGTGCTTGAAGCCGTTGGAACCTGGGGCATTGTAGCTGCGTACCTGGGCTACCTGGACTACGGTGGCTAACGGGAGCTGGGCTGCTGTAGCTAGCGGGATATTCATGCTTGAAGCCTGTGGAAGCTGGGGAACTATAGACTGAAGAAGCTGGCCTGCTGTAGCCAGCGGGAGTTGGGCCACTGTAGCTAGCGGGAGCTGGGGCACTAGCTAGTGAGACGTCCATGCTCGAAGCCCTTGGAAACTATGGCACTGTAGCTTGAAGGGTCTGAGCTACTGTACCTAGCGGAAGCTAGGCCGTTGTAGCTAACAGGAGCGGTGCCGCTGTGACTGGCGGGAGCAGAGCCGCTGTACCTAGCGGGAGCTGGGCCGCTGTAGCCAGCGGGAGTTGGGCCGCTGTAGCCAACAGGAGCAGGGCCCTTGTAGCTAGCGGGAGCTGGGTCGCTGTAGCTAGCGGAAGCTAGGCCGCTGTAGCCGGCGGGAGCTGGGCCGCCGTAGCCAACAGGAGCAGGGCTGCTGTAACTAGCGGGAGCTGAGCCGCTGTAGCTAGTGGAAGCTAGGCCGCTATAGCTAACGGAAGGTGGAACACTGTAGGTAGCCGGGGCTACGCCGCTGTGGCTAGCGGAAGCTGGGCCGCTATAGCCAACGGAAGGTGGGACACTGTAGGTAGCCGGGGCTACGCCGCTGTGGCAAGCGGAAGCTAGGCCGCTATAGCGGGGCTACGCCGCTGTGGCTAGCGGAAGCTAGGCCGCTATAGCCAACGGAAGGTGGGACACTGTAGGTAGCCGGAGCTACGCCGCTGTGGCTAGTGGAAGGTAGGCCGCTGTAGCTAACGGAAGGTGGGACACTATAGCTAGCGGGAGCTTGGCTGCTGTAGCCAACAGGAGCTGGGCCGCTGTAGCCAGTGGAAGCTAGGCCACTGTAGCTGGCGGGGGACGGGCCGCCGTAGCTAGCGGGACGTCTATGTTTGAAGCTGTTGGAAACTGGGGCATTATAGGTTGAAGGAGCCGCACTACTGTAGCTAGCAGGAGCTGTGGTGCTGTAGCCAGCGGAACGTTTATGCTTCACACTAAGGGAAGCTGTGGCACTGCAGCGGGGAGGAAGTGACCTGCTATATCTAGCGGGAGCTGGGCCGCTGTAGCTAGCGAGATCTAGGCCTGAGTAGGTGGCATCAGCTGGGCCGCTGTAGGTGACGACAGCTGGGCCGCTGTAGGTGGCGGTAGCGGCCTTATTGTGGCGGGCAGGAGCTGGAGCCTCGTAACTGGACGCCGCCGGGCCGTGCGCCCCCTCGCCCTGGTACACCTGAGGCACCACGGGCAGCGGGTACTGAGTCGGCACCGGTGTCGACAGGATGTCGCTGTTGGGCCGGTAGCCGTTCTCGTCGGCCACGAAGTCCACCTTCACCGGCTGGCCGTAGTCGTCGGTGTAGCTCCAGCTGCCCTGGTGGACGTAGCCGCCGGCGGGCTGGCCGTGCTCACCGGCGCCGTAGCCGGGTCGGGGGCTGCCGTTCTCGGCACGGTAGATGCCGTTCTCCGTCTGGAAGCTCGACTGGTACGAGCCGTCGCCCGGCTGCACGTGCTCCTGGCTGACGATGGCGTAGTGGGCGTAGCGGCCGTGCTCGCCGGCCGTGTGGGCGGCCGGCGGTTGGTGTGGGTCGGCGAGGGCCGAGCCCTCGGCACGGACCAGCGCGGCCAGACAGGCGGCCACCAGCTGTCCGAGGAGACACACGGCGTGGGAACGAGCATTGCCCGCTATCGGAACATGGCTTGGCAACTGAAGAAAGGCGGGCCTTGCAGCTTTGATGTTGCTTTTGTTCAAGCGTTGTAAAGACCGGCATGTGTACAAAATGCGCGTCTCAAGTGACGTCTACTTAAAAGCGCTAGTGCGTGATGTTCTTTCGGCTGATTTGAAGATAGTAACAGCCATCCGCGTTTGTTTACCAATACCGCGTCATGCCAGGAATGACGCACACACAGCAGCTATGGATTTCAGTTCGATGCCATGTTTCGTCACATTTTTAGGGGAATCTCACCACCTGTAAATATGACATGTCGCAGCATAAATGCGCAGAAGCACAACGCGTGACAAAAAGAGGGACTGGACAAAATATGCTTGGATGTGTCATGACTTGCTCACGGCGATCATTACATCATAAGTGGACGCACTCACCAGGTACATTGTTGTTCTCCTGTCGGCTGTTGGGCAGTGGTACCGGACACGTTCCGTGGCAAGCATTTATACGGCACACCGCGGGAGCTGTCCAGACGTGACGATCCCACCCTAGTGGTCAGAGAGTCGCCGCCGTCACCAGGGTCCGAAGCAGCCGCCGGCAAACCGCAGTGTCACAACGCCCAGACATTGGATTCGGACAGTCGGAAAGTTAGTGGCGCCAGGCCGGTGTGAGCCACTTCATCGGCGCTGCCCTCCTGCACTGTGACCTGCAAAACGGCATAGGAAGTCGGCAGGACCTGCTGTTCAGCCGGTACCATAGGCAGTGGTCAGGAACACGGCTGTGTACACTGTAGAAAAAAATCCTGAGCTGTCACGATGGACCTCACAACGGCATGCTTGCCCTAGCTTGCAGGGGGGTGGTGTGTTAGTACGTTTGTTGGCACAGTGTGAACAAGGTTGGACAATATTCTTCAACTGGAGAATCTGGTCCAAAAGAACCTGGCCATGCGAACATCTGCTACATCTTTGCACATCGTCCATTACGACGTGTCAATCCAGCCGTTAGTTCTGATTCTCCGCTGCTCTTCGCCATTTGAAAGTCAGCGTGCGCTGTAATGTGTTCGAAGTCAGTCATATTGAGTTACTGTCAACGCTATGCATTGTGTCTCACATGGGACTCACTGCTTCTTTTTGGGTAGATTCTCATGTGCAGATATATTGCCTCAAAAATGAATAATGGTGCTCTACTTCCTGTGCCTGGGAACTCATTCCTGGTGCACACCAGGTGCACGCCTGGTGCACACGTTCAGGCATCTGCAACGAGCATGGCGGCTCTGGAAAGTATTCTACCATTGGAATCAGTTTATATTGATAAGACAGTAGTCTTAGCCTTATTCCTCGGAAAAACCAAGAGAATGGAGATATAGTTAGGTTGATATTTCGGCAGCACGCCTTTCTCGAAACAATAGCAGGAGTGAATTCAAAACTACCTGGCGATGATTCTACTTTATCTTTTTTTTGGAAAGAGCAAGCCAGAGATTTTACAGGACAACATTCCGGGAATTAAACAAAGAGCGAGTGCCAGCCATTACCAAGATATAGTGTCTATCTAAGAGTTAGAATGCCCGGACATACGTGTACATGCAAACGAATTCAAGCAAGTAGGCGTCACGCATCACGCTTCATTCGAACATGCAAGCGAGTTGGGGGAAACAGGCATCACACATCACGCACCAATTATGCATGCAAGCAATTTCGATTAAACAGGCATCGTACGTGACACGTCAGACATCACTTATACAAGTAAATGATTTTATGCTAGCACACATCACACATAGAGGCACATATCGCGTCCGCATAATTTGCCATGATGAGCCCCGTATGTTAAGATTTAATCGCCGACTTTATAAGAACGGATTCGCTTATGTTCCTGCCTGGGTGGTCGTGTGCTCTGTAGATGACTTTGAGCTGTAAAAGGGGCATAGGGTCCATATTTCCCTCGATATCAGCCTGAGCGTGTTTTGCCAAAAAATGGTCGCCGAAGGGGTGTTTCCTGTTTTGTCTTTAGCGACTCGAAGGTGTCCATTATATCTGAAACGAATAGGGTGCATGGACTCCTCGACATAGACTATGGATGTTTTTCACACAGTTTACACTTGATTTCGTATACCACGTTTTTTTTGCGCGCAAACCCCCTTAAACCTATAACTGCATAAATGACATCTGTTGCCAGCCAGGCATTTGGGCTTCAAGATGGAAGGTTTCGCCAGAGAGTTTTGAAGCTTGCTGTCGTTGTTTCCAAGCCATGCGCACGGGCAGTTTTGATTTTTTAACAGTGTGTTTGATTTTCCAGAGCGAATGCTCATCTATGTAAGGCAACGTTAAGAATCCGTCTTCCGATAGGACGTGTTCCCGCATCCTACCACCCACCCCCTCACGCGTTCTAGACTTTTACCTCTTCCAACATTCTGCCTACACTAATGCTAATGCTCATGAATAACCAGCATCAAAATCGAGCTTTTACGATGGAACAATACAGGGGGCGGAACGGGGGTCCCATATTTGGATACGCTAGCGACGGCGTAAAGGAGCAACAACCACACAACGTTAGAAACGTAGAAAATCTGCGCATCCAATTTCCGCCGAGCACAGCATGATTCGTAACATGTTCCATAGGTCCCTTAACAACTCATCAAGCTGTGAAAAAGAAAGAAAGAGCATAAACAAAGTATGGGCTTTGCTGTTGCGCAACGGATATTCTCCCCAACTTTTAGTTAGAATGTTGGAATACGTAAAGCAGTCTAGAGCTCGTGGGGTGATGGGTGGTAGAAGGCAGGAACACGTCCTATTGGAAGACAGATTCTTAACGCTACCTTACAAATATGAGCATGTGCTTTGGAAAATCAAACACATTGTTAAAAAATCAAAACTGCGCGTGCGCATAGCTTGGAAAAATGACAAGCTTCAAAACTCTCTGGCGAAGCCTTCCATCTTGAAGCCCAAATGCTTGGGAGGCAACATATGTCATTTATACAGTTCTGAATCTCAAGGGGTTTGCACCCAAAAAACGTGGGTTACGAAGTCAAGTATAACCTGTGTGAAAAAATCCATAGTCTATGTCTGGGAGTCTATGCACCCTATTCGTTCGGGATACAACGAACACCTGCGAGATGCTGAAAACAAAACAGGGAGCACCCCCTTCGGCGACCATTTTTTTGGGCAAAAACCGCTCAGGCTGAAATCGAGGGAAGTATGGACCCTATGCCCCTTTTACAGCTCAAAGTCATCTACAGAGCACAAGACCACCCAAACCGGAAAATAAGTGAATCTATTCTTAAAAATTCGGCAACTAAATCTTGACATACGGGGCTCATCATGGCCAATTCTACGAACGTGATATGCGGCTCTATGTGTGATGTGTGCTAGCTTAAAATTCTTTACATGTGTAAGTAATGCCTGACGCGTCACGTGCGATGCCTGTTTAATAGAAATCGTTTGCATGCATAATTGGTGTGTGATGTGTGATGCCTGTTTCCTTCAATTCGCTTGCATGTTCGAATAAAGCGTGATGCGTGATGCCTATTCGCTTGAATTCGTTTGCATGCACACGTATGTCCGGGCATTCTCATCCTTAGGTAGGCACCGTATATTGGTAATGACTGGCAATTACTCTTTGTTTTCTCCCTTGAATGCTGGTGTCCTGTAAAAACTCTGGATTTCTCTTAAAAAGCTTTAAAAATTGGGTGGGGTCATAGGCAGGCAATTCTAAATTCTCTTTTCCTATTGTTTGGAGAAAAGAATGTTGCCGAGATATCAGCCTAACCACATTCCCATTCTCTTGGTTTTTCCGAGGAATAAGGCTAATGTTACTGCCTTATCTGTGTGACTAATGTTTCTTGCTAATACACTGAACAACTTAAGTTTATATTAATTAAAGATTTCAGATTTATCTCAGGGTAAGGTCTAATTAAACAAAGCCGCAGGAAGCTAATATATCGATCATGCTGGTTATTTGACACTTTTTTGGAACTCTGATTGCATTTCTCGTGCATAGATGTGCCAAATTGTTCGCATCCTGGTGGCCAAAAAGAATGCATGGACACGTCGACTGGGTAATGCGGCTTTGAAATATTCGCGCACACATCTGATCTTGCGCTGAAAGATCAAGAATTTGGGGCTCGCGTCGTACCTAGATCAACGAATGCGGCCACAATTTGCAATTCGCTGGGACCGGTTGTACCAGTAGAGCTACCTCACCGTGCGCTCCAATCTCAGAGATAACGCTCTTTCTTTACATTGCGCCGCCGTGCAGCCAAGGGTGGTCGGCCGGTGATGCACATTGACCTGCTAATCAGGTCCGTGTTTGCATTAGTTGTGAAGCCGATGATAACAGTGAGCATGGCCAGGGCGACGCCAGCTGTTAAAAATCGCATAGCACACATTTGTTAAATAAGGGTGCTGAGAGGAAGTCTTTTGATAACGTTGCAGTACAGTCAAAGGCGAAGAATATAAAAATACGGTGCGCTCTGTAAGCATCTGCAGCGAGTAAAGGAAGTCTGTAAGGTGTAAGGTGCGAGTAAGAAGGTCTGTATTGGTAAAACCGATTGCTCTCATGCAATTCAGAATCACGTCTTTGCATTAGTGGCTGAGTCTTTGCCTGTTTATGGTGAAGCCTGACTATATAATTGTAGTCATTGTTGCCAATCGAGACATGCTATCTTTATCGAATCCTCGTTTTCCTGCCTGACTGCAGCTCACCATTGCCATCATTCACAAATCCCTCTTCGTATGCTCAAATATATCAATTTTATTGAGGAGAGGCACGTTTGGTCAGTGCAAGCATAACGAGTTATAATTAATCGATGCTGCACTTTGGATAATCCATGATGTAGTGATTGCCAATATAAGCATTGTTATAGTACAAAATAGTTTGTTGGTGGCATCATTTGCCCTCTTGTTGTGAAGTGCAAGCCAATGCCTTTTAATGTTTTTAAGAAAATAATAACAAGAAGTCCTTATCAATATATTCTAAACGTGTG